CACCGAGACCCACCACCATGGGTGCATTGGTGCTACGGGAGTTACAGCACCACACACACACACGCCACCCGCAGCCGGTTCGCATTTCTTTATTACATAGGTATAATATTATGTCCTATATTATGTACTGTAATAGTACAATATTATACGTCTCAACACTGAAGTCTGAACATCACACACAAGCGCTGAATCGTAGCGACTTAAAATAATATTATTCGTACTCTACGACTTTATATAATATAACATATTAGGTACCTAGATTATTTGTATTTCTCTAAGATACTCTTGTGTAAATAATGTCTACATTACAATTTAACGAAATATTGTCTGAATAAATAAAACGTCACCAATAACAACCACGAACTCGTTATTCTTAAAAAGTATTTAAAATAATACATTTTAAAAGGCATTAGGCGGGTTAATTGAGTAAAACGTATACATTACGCAATCGTATACTATTCATTAACTGTAATTAGCAGACAATGGGTCTTGAGTTTAATTTAAATTATCTCTCCAGTCTCCATTAAAGATAAATATGATGTATAGTAAGTATTTAAATGGGTGGGGTGTTTGAGATATAAGTAACTATAATGACTCAGTGAACAGAGTTGGAATTACATCCGTAATTATAGGGATAATTTTAATATTTTATATTCTGATCGGATAATTATTATTATACAGCTACTTATATAGTTATATGAACATCTATCAGTCTCTTTTATTTAATCGAAAAACACGTTAAAACAGTAAAAATCGAGGTAAAAAGTCTCTAAAAGATTCAAACAAGCCACTCTATGAAGTATGAATAATATGTATGGAAAAGGAAAACGGAACATGGATTTTACTTTTTAAAAGTCGTTATCAGTATTTTAATTTTTGGTATCGAAATGTTAATAAAACCGTTAATAGGCCACAATATATTCGATTTAGTTAGAAGTATTATATAAGTAGTATATACATAACTTAAGTGGGTAGATGATACGATTATATTAAAATGTAAGCAACTATAGGGATGCAATTTTTAGACTTTATTTTTCTTTTTGATATTTTGATGAGAAAATATAAATTTTTGAGATTTTTTATAACACAATTTTAGGATTAGAACGACTTAAGTTTGTATTCAGTGGTTGTAATTTTTACAAACGACAACATAGATATTGTGTCATGTACAAGTTAATAATTACATAATATCTTTTTATTATTTTTATGTTCTTTATAATATATAATAACAATGACTACAGTGGCGTATTTGTGGGGGAACATGGGTGTGTACACCCCCCCCCCCTGGAATTATTCATTGGTGATCACGGTTATAATAAAATGATATAGTATTTGTACAACTGTACAAGTGATATTTATTATTTATTTGGTATTTTAAATTTTTATCAACGTTAGTACGTTACCAAAATGTATCGATAATGATATCAGCCAATTCTTGTCTAAATTCCCATATCACGGTTGTAGTAATACACTGATATCCCACTACCACAGAATATCTGATATTATCGATTTTACCTCGGCTTTTAATCTCCCTAATGCCAAGGCTGGGCATTAACGAGTTAATAAGTTAAAGTTAAGTTAAAAAGTTAAGTTACTTTTAACTAAGTTAAATAACGAGTTACTTTTTTTTTTAGAAGTAACTTCTAACTTAACGATTTACATTTTTCGCCATGTTATTCAGTAACTTAACGAGTTAATTAATTGTATTGGCACGTTAAGTTAATTTTTTCCCAAACCACATATTATTTAAAATTAATTACATAAAAAAAACCCGAAATATTAAATATATTTTATTAAATAATAATTTATAATAATAGTAAGTTTTTATATTGCATATTCACAGAAAATATTTTATAACTATATTATAGAGGGAAATATCATAGGGGTAACCGCGTCAAAGAAAAATATAACAATTTACTCAGTACCTAACCTATACCTAATCATTATTAATATCATTACTTATTATTAGGTATATTTTTATTCATTCATAGAATTACAATGATAACTTGGCCCATCGATGTAAATAATACCCGTAGTAGTGTGGTATTTACTATTTACCTAATTAAAGTATAATACACAAGATTAATATAAGTACCTACAGTAACTAATTTTATTACAAACATTTATTCAAATATTGTAAGACATTTTTTGATTTACTGAATTATTATGTTATTTGTTAGCTTTAAAAAAGGTAGGTAGGTAGGTAGGTATAATTGTTAATTTTATTTAAAAAAAAAAGTAACTTATTTTTAACTAAGTTAAGTTACTTTTATTTTCTAAGTAACTTGTAACTTTTACAAGTTAAAAAAAAAATGAAGTTAACTTTTAACTTTAAGCTTAACTTACATTTTTCTATATTAACTTAACTTAACGAGTTAAAAAAAATAGTTAACTTGCCCAGCCTTGCCTAATGCCTATTATTAGTAGATTTTGCTTTTACCTCGGTTTTTACGCTGTTGCATGATGCTTTGTTTTAGATTAAAAACTGGGTAAGAGCAAAGATGAGCGAGGAGCGGCTAACTGGTTTGGCATTATTAAATATTCATAGGGGTATTGAAGTGGACGTTGAATCAATCAAAGATCGATTTTCATCAGTAAAAATAGATCTATTTTACTATGAAAATTGTTGTAAATATTTTTTTTTCAGATTTTTTCTACATATTATATATTTTTAAAATTTTTTTTTTTATTATAACAAATCACGGACTCGACTGTACTGCCTTTAGGCTCTCAGTACATGTATGTCATACATTTTTTTTTATAACAGCAAATAAATGGTAAGCAATTAGATAACAATACGTTTAAAATAATAAATGGAAAAAGTTATATTCCTCACAATATTTTGTAGTGTATTACAATTTTTAAATAACCCCCCCCCCTTGATTGAGCTCCAGCTACGCTACTGCAAGACTATCGGCTGTTTAATTTTATTTTTTGTAAGGTCAAAGGAGTTTTGTAAAAAAAAGTGCGAATGCACACCCTACATGACGCACCGAATAGTTTTATAATTTTGGAAACAATTAGGCAGTATAGGTAGTTAATAACTAAAACTAAATCTTGAACTCTTTTATATAGCTTTTCGAAGGACAATGAAGTGTAAATAGACACCAATTTAAAGAGTTTATATAATTTTTTTTTTTGATGTTACAGATTATAGAACCATTTGATGAAGGTCTGAGTTCTAACAACAAATTATGCGGGCATCTTACTTAGCATAATTTAAAATTATATTTGTATTTATTTTGAAAGATATTAAAATAACACTAGACAAATAATAATAAATATGTAAAAATAATATTGAGCTAAGGATATATTATTATAATTATTATAATATTTACAAAAGGAAGAGAAAAATGTCCAACAATATGAAAACGAATAATTTATAATTCATTCTTGTTACACCAAATAAAACATAATAAATATTATTTAAAGACATGCCCAACTAGTTTCAATGGGTATTACACGTATTGTATGTAATATAATTGACAAAGCAATTAAATCTATTTATCATAATAAATATCAATATGTATATTATGTAGTATGAATGATAATGATAATGGTTGCCACTTGCCAGTTAATGCTAAATACCTATGTTAAGCGTAATATTATTTTAAATAACTATTATCCATAATTTTTCTGTTCGAATAACATCTTTTAAATTTTCCCAAAAAATTAAGTTTATAACAAACACATTTTAGAGAAAAAATTTTAAGAAAAATAATTTAAAAGTATATACCTATATAATCAACAAAATATATAACTAATATAAAGAGTAATAATGTACCTACTTATTAAATATCAAAGCTACCAATATTAATACTAATTACTAATTAGTATATATATAGTTATTACGTATTATTATTACTGTTATTAGTAATAACTTATACTTATTACTTATTACTCATTCAAGCTCATCGATTTATAATATATAGAATGACAGTCGTATTATGACTGTGATTGTTGATCAACGGGTGGTCATTCTTATTGTTATAGTGTTACCTACCTAATTAATTATTCAATTAATTAATAATTACGAGTTATAGTATTCATTATTCAGTGTTTAATAACTTCTACGTATAAATATATTTGTTTTTTGAGCGTTAAAAATAATGATAGTTTTGATATTTCCATGGTAGATACTCATACTCTTAATTTTTGTTCAAAACGATCTCGGAGTCATTACTAAAGTCTTAATCCAATCTATTTAGTAACTTTTTTTAAGCTTTATCAGTAATTTAAACCTTTTACCAGCTATTGAATATTAATAAATGTCGGTAAATTCAATGAAAAAAAACCTATCTCGTTTCAACTATGTTATTGGCAATAACTTATTGGATTTATCTCTTTTTTATATCACATACCTTACTTTACCTACCCATAATAATATTATCGCAGCCGGTATGTAATGTTACAAAATGGTATAAATTTTTACTACCTATAGTTGAATAAGTTTTACGTCATGTTTATGTATAATGTATTTTACGAGGTCGTAGATTTTATTTTTTTTTGAACATTTTAGTATTTACATGTTAATATGGTTACACGAACGATAACTGTGCCATCGATTTCGATGCCTGTAATAATTTTTGAATATGTATAGGTACCCGATACTAAAATAAAATTTGTCCGTTTTAGTAACAAATAACGCAATATTTAACATAAAATACGTAATTTCGTAAAATATCAACCTGCTAGGTATTGGGCGTTTTAAATTTATTTAATTTGTTTGATAATCAAAATAATAAATTTATTATATGCATAATATATTAGTAGGCACAGTGTTGCTTGGAATAAACACAGAAGGGTGTAATTGGGGAGGTTTGTCGTCATATATTTATTTAAAATCTTTAAAAATTACAACACAGTAACCTCGACAGACGACAGTAACACACCTCAGTGTTAGATTTTGTTATTGAATAGGTTACACAGTAAAAGCTTTTCAACTTTTAAATGAAAAGGCAAAAACTAACAATGTTCATAAATATTAAACGAAGACTTACCTTAATGATGAGCTCAATTTCCGGTACATGACCATTTTCTTCGTGTCCGTTGCCATTGGCGTGTGGCGCGTCTTCATCGGCCATAGCGTGTGGATGTATAATAATATTATTAAGTTATAATAAGTATGTCGGACGTCGGATTATTCGATTAAAGCAGTAATAATTTTATATAATATTTAATAATCAACAGTAATTATTTGTAGGCGAATGTGACTAGATTCCGGCAAAGCTACATACGCGAACGACAGCTGCGCGCCGCAAACACACCACTCGCTAGCGTCTTACTGTAATAGTGACCAGTGGGCAGTGACGACTGACCGTCGAAAGTTGTTTTTATGATATTAGATTATTATTATTATTTTTTTTTTATCAGCGCAGAATACAACAAACGATACGACGACGGACAACCATTCGGGATTCAACCGCATCACTGATTGACGAACCACGAACGGCATACGGAGGCGAAAGCGTTTACCCAAAAAACGTCCTTGGCTCCCGGGGCACGTATCATGGCATAACAAACGATAGACTGTTTGTTCCATGACGGTAGATCTGTGTACTCTTTATAGTAAAATGCGCGCTTATAACAAAATGCTCGAATTACTAAAATATCTTACTTGCACATTACACAATACTACAATAGGTTAAATTTAACATTTTAACTTATTTCATGAATTTACGCCGGTAAAAAGAAATTAAAATTTAAAGAAATATTTTTATCACCGATATTTTATCACTTTTCTGCATTTTGTTGAAAAATCGTCTCACATAATGGCATAAAGGTACCTTAGGTGCCCCGAGAGGTGGGCAATCTGGGGCAGATGCCCTTCTGGCTGTACGGATATTACTTTTAAATATTTTGTATATTACGAATTATATAAATTCCTAAGACAAAACAAATTTGAAGTGGTTGTACAATATTACAAAACGAAAAAACGGCTAACATGACATCATAAAAAAAAAACATGTCAAGCCAAGTTAAGAATTAATATTATATTTTATATTTTTTTATGTATTTACAGACTCCTCGAAGTGCGTACGTAATTACGAATGTTTTATTAACACGTTGACATTACGATGTGCATGTGTCGAAAAATTAGTCTTGGGAATGCCGTTTTTACTAAGCTATATAGCTACAGGTCTAAAATTATATTCATGATTCAATCATGAACAATAGCAACCTTACAATAAACAAAAATATATTATTATTGAGTTTCGGTTCTTACGGGACAGATGGCACCTACATCCAAATTTCCTACTTTTCCGGTGGATTTTCTTAAAATGATTTGTCATGGTCCAGTCTGTAGTGAAATAAAAGCCAAAAATGTTAAATGTAAAGTCAAAATTGTTTCATTTCTGTAGTTATCAATCTATTTATCTATATTCTATAAGTAACAAAGTAACTATTGTCAATTAAAAAAAATAAAATGCATTTTCAATTTACAAGATACATGTAATAACATGCTTAGAATAAATAGATATTAAGTACCAAATTTATTGCCCGTAGTCCGTACCACATATTTTTATATTAATAAAGAAAAATCTTAAATACCTATAATATGAAGTTATTGACTAGACTATATTATATGGTTTTCAATATTTGGTACAAGTACCAATGTATTTACTTTTAATAAAATTATAATAATTACAATATATTAATGTATACATTTTCTAAGTAATTTATAAGCTTAATAGTCTTCTGTCAATATATATAAATACATAATTGGTTAATTTGTCATTTTCAACTGTTTTATTAATTTTTCATTACCTACTAACTTATCTACGACCATCCCTATCATGTCTATCACTTCTTTTGGATCGGTCGCCTCTATCACTTCTTTTATCTCTATCATCTCTATTACTTCTTTTATTTTTGTCGTCCTTTTCATTTTTTCCATCTCTTTCGTTTCTATGGTTTTTCCTTTCTCCTTCATTTCTGTAATTTTTTTTCATTTTATCATCCTTTTCACGTCTTCGGTTTTCATCTTTTTCATTTCTCCAATATTTGTTATAGGGTACTCTTTCCTCTTTTTCACTTTCTCGATATCTATAGTTTTTATCATCATTTCTATGACGTTTTGATTCATGAATTGACATTTTATTTTTAATGTAATTATTTCTTGAGTCATAACTATCTCTTTTCTTATTTCTGTACTTAGAATATTTATCACTTATATTTTTTCCTTCGTCATCTTTATCAGTGTATTTTACTCCTCGTCCTTTGCCTAACCATTTAATTTTTGATACACTTTGACTGAAATCTACATGAATTCGGCGATCGTCAATTAGTACATTGTCCATTTTTAGGTAAGCGTCTTCACATGATTTTTGATTATCAAATTCAACAAAAGCATATTGTAGAGAATTCTCAGACTTTTTATCTCTAATAACTTCACAACTGTAACAAAGTAATATACATGGTCATCAGAAAGAGGTATAATTAACCCTTCATATTTTGTCCATACAATTATATATAATATACATTTATTGGTATTGTATAATATCGTGTATCTAATAATTTGTTAAAGAAATTTTGAATAAATAAAAATGGGTGGTTATTTTATTATTTTTGTTTAAATGCAAAATAAATAAGTATACCACACAATGTAATAAACATTTATGCATATAAACTACTAAATACTTAATTTTATTGGGTACTCGGATAAAGATTACGACTAGTTATATTCTCTGAATATAAAATGTATCCATGTTAAAATAATGTTAATTAGTATGGCATTTGGATGCAATAATTGAGTGATTAAGAGGATACTATATCCGCATGCGTTGTCTCCATCTTACAAATGTACAGCCTAGCAAAAAACTGTTTTGTGTGGGATAGAACCACTCACTCGAAAATTAATAGTAGAATCACCAAAAATCCACAATGCATAGGGAACAATTTTATCTGTGTCGTAGAGTTTTTATTTTTTTGATAGCATTTACTACTTTAGCATTTTTATTATTTGGATAACATAAATAAAATTAAAGTTACCAGTTTGAGAACATTAGGATTTTTTTTTTGTTTTTTTCATTTAATTATAAATTAAAAAATATTAGTAAATGCTATCAAAAAAATAAAAACGCTACGGTACAACTAAAGTTGTTAATTATGCGTTGTGGAATTTTGGTAATTCTGCTATAAATACCAAGGGAGTGGTTCTATCCCGAGCAAAACAGTTGTACATTTGTGAGACGGAGACAATGCATGCAGGTATAGTGTCCTCTTAAGTGATTCAAGCAGGATGCATTAAAAAAATAACAATAAAAACTTTTTAGTATGAATGCCAGATAGAAATCAAAACTAAAACAAGCTTGTAAATCTTACAGAAAACAACAGAATTGAGAAATTACTAGGGTAAAATGAATTGTATGTATCTTATTTAATAATAAAAGTGGCATTCGGGGACTGCCGCGATAAAGCTATTGCATATTAAATAAATAAGAAGTTGATATAATTTTAAATTTTTTTATTCTTCTATTTATTCAGGAATTTGTATCATAGAAACTATAGTTTATGTTTTTATTGCTATAATATATTATATTTTATATATATTATTATAAATATATAAAATTAATAATATATTATTATATATTATATATTTATATATATAAATTTATTGCTATAGCAACCCATAACAAAACCATTATATTTATAAGCGCTTGATGTTCATAGTCGTTGTTATTTAAAAATAAATAACTGTTATCAAAATTAAATTATAATTTAGCTATGCGTTGCTATGGTCACCAGGTTGCTATAGTATGTATAAATAAACAAAGTGGTCACGCTTTTTCGTTACGAAAAATTTTTTTTCAGTCACTACACCAGACCTGCGATAAAAGCTATGCAATAGCTTAATAAAATATTTTCAGGCCAATCATTTCTATTTTAAAATTAAAACAACCTCTCATTTAACTTCCAAATAGGCTATTGACAATAACTAGAAAAAAAGAGTATTTATTTTGTATTTATATTTCTTAAGCCAGTATTACAATTATTCGATACCTTTTGAAATCAGGGCAGGCATTTTCAGGGGGGGGAAGAGGGTAAGATAAAGTATATTCCGACTGAAATATACACCACTGACTGTAATAATAACAATATAGGCCTACCACCCACAGATAGCGAAAGCATACCGATGGATGACGGTACTAAAAAAGTTACTGTAGGAATTATATACATATAGATCTCAGCAGCATTTTGATTTCTAAATCAGTAAACTCTTAAATTGTCAAATGTGCATGGTCAAAGTCAGTGGAAATAAGGAAAACAAGGAGTTCTACTTCTCCTTACTTGTATACTAACACTATTGTGGAATCAATAGTCATTGATTAAATAATAAATAATAAATATCCACTAATATTTTAAATTTTTTATAAACATAATAAACTATTAATAGTGTCATCCTCTGTAATTCCAGATTTAGAAATCAAAATACTGCAGACTGCCGAGGACCCGTACTCGTTTTTATTATTAAAATTATAATGTAAAAAAATCTAGGAAAACAGTTTTTAATAAGTCGTATAATTTCTGGCAGCTCTCTGTTATTAAGAAAATGCCGACTGATAGATACAAAAAATTCAAAGGGGGGTGTGACGACCCACCATACCACCATTGCCGCCGGCCCTGTTTGAAAAAGTCAAGATTGACAAGAAGTCGGTTAACACCAAATGAAAATAATTGTTGATCAACTAACAGTGTAATACCAGCTTAAGAGATTATTTCTAAAATAGAGAATGATATTATAGTTAATTGTTTTCAATATTTAATTTCAAACTTCTTGCAAGTCATAAAATTATAATTGATATAAAAATATTTACCTTACAATTTTACCAAATCTGCTAAATATTATTTGTAAATCATCATCACTGGTTACTGGGTTTAGCTTACACACAAATAAAACATTTTCAGGAGGTGCAATATCAGCAGAAGGTAAATCTCCAACTATTTCAAGAATGGTAGCACGAGCTAGAGCTTCTTTTTCTTGTCGTTTTTCTTCTAACTCTCCAATATCTATGTCTTCAGTGATGTCTTCATCTGCTCCAATTCTATCACTCTGTACAAATATATTAGTTCATATTTAAAATCTAAATACATTTAAAATAAAAATAAAATTACCTGAAGTACTTCTAATGGTGGCTCAGGAGATTGACCAGGTACAATTAAACCGTCAGGATCAGAATATGGATCTTCCAAGATGACTGTATGTGTGATTCTATCATAAGCAAAAGGAAAGTTTTAATTAATAAGAAATAAATATAAAATAAAAGAGTAATGGATCATAATGATATTAGAGAATTAATAAGTTATCATACATCATACATTTTTTATTTTTAGGATAAAAGCACCTTTTAATTAAATAAATAATACTTATTTTTTTTCTTTTTAAGGCAAATTAAATATGTGTATTATTCAAGCTACTTTTTATAAAGTTGTACTACATAATACATAAAATTAAATTATTTTTTAAAGTATTTTATAACAAATTAAAGCAAGTATATAATATAAATCAATATATATTTTACTGCAGCTTTTTCAAGTTTAAGTTTTGTGTTAATGTATATTGTATTATCATAATTCATAAAAACTTTCAAGTCAGTAAAAACAAATAAGTGATATACTAATATTGCATTGTCATTTGTATTTTGTGTTGTTTGTTTTCTTGTATTTATTTTTATATTTTATCTTCCGTATAGACTATTAATTTTTTTTTATGTAGTTAACTTGATTTATTGATATAATATATATAAACAATATATATATTCTATTACTTTTATACTATGATAGTTTTTAGTCAAACAAAAGGACAACCGTTGTTATAAGTTTGTGCATAATTTACTATCATAGATTCTTTTAAGTTGCAAATTTTTGTACAATATAGTTAATACCTTACTATCTTACTTCAAATGTAACATAAATATTATATACTTATGAAAAGTTCAAACCTTATATCCTGATATGGTCGATGTGTAGCATCACAAATTGTCTCATTTAATTTTAATAATACATCATGACCTTCAGCTATTTCACCAAAAACAATATGTTCATCTAATGAACAAGTTGTATCTTCACCTAAAGTTATAAAAAACTGTGATCCAATTCTATTAAACAAAACAAATTATTAAAACAACTAATTTTACCAAACAAATCTCAAAACCTTCAACATACAAATTATCACCACAATTAACCATTGAAACAAGTCCAGGTCTATCATGTTTAATTTTTGGTTTTTTTTCTCCTTCATAGTATCTTGCATCTTTTCCTGATAAAATTCTAAATGGAAATAAAATATAATTAAAATGTTGAAAATAAAAAGTTAATCCAATAAACCTTTTTTATAAATTTACCCATATACTGATTGTCCTCCAGATCCAGTACCTGTTGGATCGCCTGTTTGAGCCACAAAATTTGATTGTACATGATGAAAGAGACAAAAGTTGTAATATTTTAATTTACACAGCTTCAGAAAGTTTTTGCAAGCTGAAATGGTTAAAATTTATAAATTAATATACTTCATAACAAAACTTAAATCTAAATAATACATATCAAATAAGTAGGTACTTTTATAAAAATATTATTATAATAAGGATAGTATTAATTTAGATAAATTAAATTGTTATTCTAAGAAATGATCAAAAAGTAGGTAGTATATTCTTCAGTAATTCAAGAAGTTTACTAGATTTAAGTTTTGTAAATGGTGGGTTTTTGTGTGGTAAGAAGATTATAATTGAGCTAGTAGCAGATGAAATGAAGAAAACATACATTTAGTCTACAAAAAATGAATAGGTACTTACAGTGTGGTCTTTCTTTTGTGAACAAATCTATTGTTAAATCCCCAATAGTAGTTTCAAGAACTATAGACATGGCTTGATGGTATTTTCCTAAAAATAAATTAAATATTCAAGAACATTAAAAACCAAAATATTTGCTTAAGTTCTAAAAACCAACATTTTTAAACCGACAAAGAAATCAAAATCAAAATGTAAAATGATATGCCTAATATGTTAAAACAAATTGTACATGTCTTAAACAATATGATAAACCTCGCAGAAAGTTTTAACAAAATAAATAATTTTTATGTACTGAAAATATTTGAAACACAGTCACTATATAAATATTAACAATCAATTATAAATAATTGAATATACAGTGTGTAAAACCTAGTTGAGAACACTCAATATATTTGCGTAGAGTCCTGCAATTTGAATTCTGATTTCTTGTTGGTTGTTATGACATAAAAATACACCTTTTTAAATTTTTATAACTTAATTAGACTTGGGCATATGCAGTACAACTTTTTTTTCTTAAATAGCAACCACCTATTTTAACCTCTAATTATTTTTTTGCCTAATTTTTTAATGCATTTTGGTGGTTTAACCAACTTTCTAAGTCCAAAATTTACCAAGTTACAGTTAATCAACAACAATACTGGAAAATACGGGACATTTTTTATTCTATTTTTATTCTTAAAATAATTATTCTAGAATTGTTTAGGCTTAACATTTTCACCAATAATTATTTAGGTGGTACATAAATAAAAAAATCTATTGGAATTTATTAATAATTTGTTCTTCAGTCAGTTGATTGCATGTTGCTGTTATTATATCTTTTAAATTTTCAAGGTTTATAAGATGATCGGCATACATTAAACTATTAATAGATCCATTACACGTAACATAATAAACAACATAATTATTTATGTATCAGGTACACCTGTTGATATTTGTTCTATATCATTGTAAAAACAAATGAGTAAGTATATTATAATATTAGGTAGGTACCACAAATTAGTGTACAGCGTGTCTCAGAAGTCTCGTATCACCCTTATTATCTCTGTGGAAAATCATTATATTTAAATGCCGATTTTTTTTACAGTCATAAGTATGGAAATTCTGATTGAATAGCATCATTTTCGGTTTTTTTTAATCAAAAATTCTAAAATCATCAAAAAATTTTTTTAGGCTAATAAGTTATATAAATTTCCAAGATATCCATTTTGTTGATCGTATTTTTTAAAACAGTTAAAAAAAAAATATTAAAATTTAATGAAAATCGCCTAAGTTGGAGCTAATTATTATTTTTAATTTTAACCGAAAAATCAGTGATTATAATAATTAACATGTGAATCGTATTTTGCTAATGCTGTATGCGTAGGTAACACAACTATTATTCTTAGAAATTCAAAATAATAATTACCTCTAACTTGGGCAATTTTCATTACATTTTAATATTTTTTTTTTGAACTGTTTTAAAAAATATGATCAACCAAATGGCTATCTTGGAAATTTAAAAAACTTATTTGTCTAAAAAATTTTTTTCACAATTTTTGAATTTTTGAAAAAAAAAACTGAAAATTATGCTATTCAATCAGAATTTCCATACTTATGACTGTAAAAAATCGGCATTTAAATACATTGACTTTCCAGGGAGATAATAAGGGTGATACGGGACTTTTGGGACATGCTGTTTACTTTAATAGGTACATACATATTAATAGTTAATTGTGTAAATAGATTATAAAATAACAACAAAAGATTGTATTATTGGAAATATTAACTTTTGAAAATTAATAAATAATTAATAACCATATTTCAATCTATAGAAATAAAAGATAGCCATGCTAGGTAAAATTTGAAAATGTCTAACCAAAACTTCGGTAGTTTCTTCAGTTCTTGACCAAAATTGTTTATCATTGCCATAACGGTTTACATATATTTGTTTTAATAAATAATTGGTAGATACAAATTATCCCTAAAATTGTCTAGCCCTGTAAACAGGAAGAAAGTCAACCTTTAGCAACACACTTATGTATTATGAGAACAGCTCAGAACTCACCAGTCACCATATAGACTTATAAACTATATGAAACTTACAATGTAAATAGTGATAACTTACGTTTGAAATTGACTTGAAACTTCCAACTTCGCCAGTTAAAAAAGATCCGAATAACGAAGTGCACTATTGATGAATGATGATTGGCGATTGCCGAATAATGCCAATTGGAATGATTGGATAACTGTGCAGCGCATTGCGCATCTTTTATCAGTATACGTCCGTGGGTAGACTTCACTGATGATGTTGCGGACGCCGCAGTCCGGCAGTCGTCCGAAAAATGATAAGAGTGGTTATACCACGGACTAAGATATACAGGACTGGACACGAGATGAATATTGTGGTTACGAAATGTTTTACAACAGGCGGAGTTCGGGGGGATATTTTCCTTTTAGCATTACTAGCGCCGTCCTAGTGGATACTTATGGAACTAGAAATTTGTATGATGTGTTCTAGTTCCATAAGTATCCACTAGGACGGCGCTAGTAATGCTAAAAGGAAAATATCCCCCCGAACCACGGACTAAGATATACAGGACTGGACACGAGATGAATATTGTGGTTACGAAATGTTTTACAACAGGCGGAGTTCGGGGGGATATTTTCCTTTTAGCATTACTAGCGCCGTCTTAGTGGATACTTATGGAACTAGATCACATTATTGTCATCTAGTTCCAAAAGTATCCACTAAGACGGCGCTAGTAATGCTAAAAGGAAAATATCCCCCCGAACACTGCCTGTTGTAAAACATTTCGTAGTCAACCCCCCCACACCCTCCAACCTTGTCGTGTCCAGTCCTGTATATCTTAGTCCGTGCCCCGAACATAGCCTGTTGTAAAACATTTCGTAGTCAACCCCCCCACACCCTCCAACCTTGTCGTGTCCAGTCCTGTATATTATCTTAGTCCGTGTCACGAACTAACTAAGGTTGAACTCTGGCTTTTGGGTCTGGGAAAAAAAACGCGAAAATATTTCTAAGTCCATATCACATCTATAATATTATCACTACAGCAATACTCTGCAGTGTTGCCATAATAATAATTTTATGTACCACAATAAAAATTTATACTACGTAATAATGGTAATAATCACAAAAGTATTCTAAGTTCAAAATAATCAATTTATTCACTCGTTCATTTTCCAAAGTAATTAAGTCCAAAATAATATTTCAAAAGTGTAAACTATTACGACCACCTAGGCTTTCGGATTTTTAATTTTTCGATTTTCCGACCACCTTGGCTTTTGGGTCTGGGAAAAAATGTCAAAATATCGAAAAACGTCTAAGAGGTTTTTTATTCGTATACTGTATAAGAAAAACATCCGGTAGTCAAATTTTTTATTTTTCGATTTTCCGACCACTTTTCACGGACCACCTTGGCTTTTGGGTCTGGGAAAAAATGTCAAAATATCGAAAAACGTCTAAGAGGTTTTTTATTCGTATACTGTATAAGAAAAACATCCGGTAGTCAAATTTTTTATTTTTCGATTTTCCGACCACTTTTCACGGACCACCTTGGCTTTTGGGTCTGGGAAAAAATGTCAAAATATCGAAAAACGTCTAAGAGGTTTTTTATTCGTATACTGTATAAGAAAAACATCCGGTAGTCAAATTTTTTATTTTTCGATTTTCCGACCACTTTTCACGGACCACCTTGGCTTTTGGGTCTGGGAAAAAATGTCAAAATATCGAAAAACGTCTAAGAGGTTTTTTATTCGTATACTGTATAAGAAAAACATCCGGTAGTCACATTTTTAATTTTTCGATTTTCCGACCACTTTTCACGGACCACCTTGGCTTTTGGGTCTGGGAAAAAATGTCAAAATATCGAAAAACGTCTAAGAGGTTTTTTATTCGTATACTGTATAAGAAAAACATCCGGTAGTCACATTTTTAATTTTTCGATTTTCCGACCACTTTTCACGGACCACCTTGGCTTTTGGGTCTGGGAAAAAATGTCAAAATATCGAAAAACGTCTAAGAGGTTTTTTATTCGTATACTGTATAAGAAAAACATCCGGTAGTCACATTTTTAATTTTTCGATTTTCCGACCACTTTTCACGGACCACCTTGGCTTTTGGGTCTGGGAAAAAATGTCAAAATATCGAAAAACGTCTAAGAGGTTTTTTATTCGTATACTGTATAAGAAAAACATCCGGTAGTCACATTTTTAATTTTTCGATTTTCCGACCACTTTTCACGGACCACCTTGGCTTTTGGGTCTGGGAAAAAATGTCAAAATATCGAAAAACGTCTAAGAGGTTTTTTATTCGTATACTGTATAAGAAAAACATCCGGTAGTCAAATTTTTTATTTTTCGATTTTCCGACCACTTTTCACGGACCACCTTGGCTTTTGGGTCTGGGAAAAAATGTCAAAATATCGAAAAACGTCTAAGAGGTTTTTTATTCGTATACTGTATAAGAAAAACATCCGGTAGTCACATTTTTAATTTTTCGATTTTCCGACCACTTTTCACGGACCACCTTGGCTTTTGGGTCTGGGAAAAAATGTCAAAATATCGAAAAACGTCTAAGAGGTTTTTTATTCGTATACTGTATAAGAAAAACATCCGGTAGTCACATTTTTAATTTTTCGATTTTCCGACCACTTTTCACGGACCACCTTGGCTTTTGGGTCTGGGAAAAAATGTCAAAATATCGAAAAACGTCTAAGAGGTTTTTTATTCGTATACTGTATTAGAAAAACATCCTGTAGTTGGATTTTTGATTTTTAGATTTTTAATTTATTATTATTATTAAAAGAACGTCGTAATAAAGTACGTTATTTGTTAGTCGTTACATTAAATATTTTATTTAAATTACATTCGCGTTACTTGAAATTATAAAAAAAAAAATGTATTACAACAGCCCACCAAATGTACATTATTTATTTTATTAAATATATTAAACAACTTTAATTATTATTGTTGTATTTAATAAATATATTGTTTATTTTAATTTCTTATATCATATTTTTTAAATATATAATAATATATTTATTTAATCTGATATAATTATATGAACTTAAAAAT